ATGCCTGGCTAATTTTTCTCTATTTTTTGTAGAGACAGGGTTTAGCTATGTTGCCCAGGCTGGTCTTGAACTCCTGGGCTCAAGCAATCCTCCTGCCTTGGCCTCCCAAAGTGCTGGGATTACAAGTGTGAGCCACCACATTCAGCCTCCTCAATCTTTATTTTTATTTTAGAAAACCTGAAGAACATTTTTTAATATTTATCCCTGAACTCACAATGTGCTCATTTATAAACAGACTAAGTGCTTACAATATACAGCACAGAAACATTTCTGAATTGCCACTTGTGATAGCTACACTACACATGGCCCCAGTGCCCCATGTCTCCTGGTATTCACACCTTTGTACAGCCTCTCCTCTACACCGAACGAGCTGATTCAGTTTAGCCAAAATATACAGCACAAGTCATGTTGGCCAGTATCAGGCTTAGGCCTTAAAAAGATCTGGCAGCTTCTGCTTTTGTGATCTAGAAAGGCAGCCACCCCATAAGAAGTCTGGCTATTTTGCTGGGAGGGAGGGAGAGAGGCTGTGGGAAGAGGGAGAGGCCTTTGATACCACATGGGGAAAACCAAGGAACCCAGCCAACAGTGAGAAGTGGGCCCCAGACAATGACCCCAGCGTCAAGAGCCGTTCCAGCCAGCCCTCAGCCATTTGAGCTAATCCTAGCTGAGGTATCACCTATGTCAGTGAAGACACTAGCTTGGTGTGTTTCAGTCCTAGCTGACATCTCATGGAACAGAAGTGTGCCATCCCTATTGTTCTTTGCCCAAACTAATGACCCCTGGAATTGTGAGAAATAATAAGAGGGTTGTTTTTTATACACCACTAAATTCTATGGAAGCCTGTTTTGTAGTAGCAATTCTACCTAAATACTTAAATGTTTTTTCATACTGCCATTTTAGAGCATTAAAAAAAAATTCTCACCCTTGAGAACACAGAATTGTTTACCTGACATATTCTTTTTTATTTTCTTCAGTAACAGGGATACTTTTGCCATTTGGTTTAAGTTCATGCTGAATAATTTCACCATATGCATTATGTTCAACACAAAAGGTATGGTCCAAAACACCTGTAATGTCATTCTCACTGGATAGGAAAAAGAGGGAAAGATATATAACTGGGAAGCCTAAAACACAGATCCTCTAGGTGTATTAATTGGTGAGACACATAAAACTAAGATAGTTTCATATACAACAAAGTCAGATTATGCTTATGAGTTCTTATCCTACCACATCACCTACTTCTTTCAGAAAAGTCAAAAAGCTTTAACCTTAGTAAACAGAGGAAACGTTTCACTTCGTGAGTAATGAGAAAGAGCCCTGGTCAAAGCTGGACTTTGCTAGAACCATCAACATAGGAAAATTTCACTTATGTCTGGCATTCAGATAAGAGTCCTACTGAATCTGGGAACCCGAAGAGACCAAATGCCTAAGTATCCCCAGTGAGACAGAGCTACTTGTGTATTTTGTAAAAATAAATAATGCTTTTGTATCTTTGTAAACTAATGACCACTTACAAAACAGAATTAGTTCTTACCTTAAACAGAATTAGTTCCTAGTTTTAAAGTATGGTTCACAAAATCACCCCTTTATTAAAAGTGATGGCAGCAGGAATTTGCTATTCTAATACATGCAGGATTGGAACAGAACTTGCATCATGTTGAAGAAATCATCATATCCAGTACTTTTACAAACAGAATATATAGATTTTTTTCCTTTTTAAAGTAATAACACTAACTTGAGGAATTTGAAATGTATAGGGAAATCGTAGGAAGGAAAAAAGTCTTATGTGGTCCTATTGCTCAGATAACCACTCAATATTTTGTGTGCAAAATTTTTTAAATTTTATAAAAGCACATCAGTTTTGAAACTTTTTTTTAAGCTCAGAGTTTAAGTATAATGAATAGACAGAAGACTCAATACATACAGTATCCACACTAAACTGTTATGAAGGTCTGGATCAACTAACTCCATATCATCCAAAGTAATCGACTTCCCAAGCAACTGTTTATAAAAAGGCAACGTGAAACCACCATCAATATAATGTCCATGAAACACAGCCATTCCCATTATTCGTCCAACAAAGTGGAAATATGATAAATGTTCCTGAAATTGAAAAGAGTTTATATAAATACTCAAGTTAGAAACTATCCAGGGAATTTTTAATAAAACTTAAATATTGAAGCAACATTAATTTTTTTAATAAGTATCAAATTTGTACTCTACAACTATTTAAATGGAATAGGTTTATCACATCAAAGCTCAATAATTAGTAGGGAATATTTCTATAGGGCCTGCTCAAGATTCTCTGAATCATTATAAAACTACATATTACAGCAGTC